TTAGAACAAGCATCAGGAAACAGTATCTATAGACAGTGAAGCAGAATTATATGAGAACTAGAAGACTTGGTTTATTAAAATATGTTTTAATATTTTATGCAAACTTAAATGACTTTTAAAAAACAAGAATAGGTCAATTTTTTTTTTGGGGGGGGGACAGGTTTCTCTGTGTAGCTTTGGAGTCTGTCCTGAAACTCACTCTGTAGTCCAGGCTGGCCTGGAACTCACAGAGATCTGCCTGCCTCTGCTTCCCAAGTGCTGGGATTAAAGGTGTGCCCCACCACTGCCTGGCGAATAGATCAATTTTGAAGAGACTGCTTCAACTAATGACACTGTCTTTGTAAATATAATCGAAAGTGTGTCAAAAGGATGAAAGGAGTGTCTTTTCACTTCTGTTGGTTATTTGAAACCATGTGTTATTTTTTATATTATTCACTTCTCCTCACAGACCCGCCTTTCCTTCCCTACCCAGTCAACTTCATGCTATCCCTCACAGACCTGCCTTTCCTTCCCACCCAATCAACTTCATGCTATCCCTCACAGACCCGCCTTTCCTTCCCACCCAATCAACTTCATGCTATCCCTCACAGACCCGCCTTTCCTTCCCCACCCAGTCAACTTCATGCTTCCCCTGCATCATCCAGCTTGTGCTGCCATGCATTCTTAAACATGTGACTTTTCACTAAAGGTTGGCTAATTCACCAGGGGCTACACCCTTAAAAGTGGATTCTTCTCTCCTAGTAGCTACAGCTGCCAGCAGCTCCCTAGCTACAGAGACACAGCAGAAGACCAGAGGGAGACACTATGCAACATCCCAAACAGCAGCAGATGCTCTGCACGCTGGCCATCTTGCAGTCCAAGTTTTATTCTATAGTATTTTCCCTCTCGTTACTGAGGATTGAACCTAGGGCAAACACTCAGGTATATTCCCAACCTCCTTCCTATAAATGAATCAATACAAAGTAGGCTGCTACCAATCAAAACTCTGTTTTAGTCAGGGTATCTGGGGGTGTTCACAGCCCTGACCTTTATGTGAGATTAAGTAATTTCCTTTCAACTAGAGACTATGGCATGAGCTGAAGAAATGTGCTTTATTTGCATCTTACAAACCACTGGAAACCATCTCATATAGTTTTAAGCCAGATTTGCGGGATGGCGGGGAAGTGCACCCCTAAACAGTTGGTTATCCACAACATTATTTTACATGAGTGTGGAAAGAAAAGCCTGTCTCATCTCTTGCACTCATTGCTAAAAGCCTCCATTTACTCTGTCTGATACACAGAAATCTCTCAGACAGGCTTGGGAAAGGTTCGTATTAGCTATCAGACCATCTTTTTAAAAAGAGGCTTTCAAAGGGTAAATGTGAAGAAGGAACCACATCAAGAACAAGTCATATCAGAGAGCCTCTAGGCCTGGAAGCAGCAGAGCAACCCAAGGAAGAACCCGAGGAGGGGCACTGCTGTCACACGCAGTGTGAACCCAGCTTTATATGAATTTGCCCCCAAAGTCAGCTACCAGCCTTTGCGTGGAGATGGACAGCGGGGAGGGTCAGTCTACTCTCTACCATCGCTTTACTGAGGGCACTCCTCATGGTAGAGCCAATCTCTGCTACTCTGCTTTCTCTTATCAGGAGACCTGGCAGTACCCTGCTCTATGATAATGTGTTTACACACTGGGCCTGTCTACCCCAGGCCTGCAGGACACCTTCAGAGCTGGCCAGGAAACAGAGGAAATCCTCTAGCAGTGAATGCTACTAGAGAATGTTGAGATGGGAAGAAAATGTCAGAAATAAGGCCTAGAGGAAACATATCATCAAGGAAATTAAATTGACAAGTAGGTTTTTTAAAATAACAATAACAATGTATTCAATACTTTCACTCACAAGCAAGGTAAAGAATAGTAGTGGTGTAACTGGGTGTGCTCACAGCTTGCCTTCTGGTACCAAGTCTCGCCATATAGCCTCGACTAGCTAATGTGGACCAGGCTGCCTCTCGAGTGTATACCATGAGCACAAACCACTATGCTTGGCTAGCAACATTCCCACAGGAATCAGGACCACAGTGCCAACTGAAAGCCAACCTGAGTTTTGTGATTATGTACCAGAAACTCTAGGACAACCACTAGTACCTTTTAAAAAGATTTTACTTTATTTTAATTTTTATCAGAGTTTTGATATGTGGCTTATGTTGATATGCAGTACCATGTCCAGGTAAGATTCTAAGTCTTAAAAAAAAAATAGAAATTCTGAAAGGAAAAAGAATACACTGAATGCTCAGTGCAATGGGAAAACAACAACAACAACAAAACAACAACCTAGAAAAAAGAGCAGCACAATACATTAGAAAAGCTGTATTAGTCAGATGTAATAATAATCCTTTTTAATGTGAATGAATACTATACAAACTGAAAGGCAGATTATCAGCATGGATACAAACAAGAATCAACTATATGCTATCTAAAAGAAACTGCCATTATATGTAAAAACACTAGCAGATTAAACATAAAGGAGAAACAGGACATGCCATGATGCTAAACCTAGTAAGAGAATGCAATGCTAATTTTAATTTCAGACAGGGCAAACCTCAGAGTCATGAAAATTACTGGGGCTAAAAATAATTATTACATAACAAAACAGGGCCAACTCTTTAACATGCATACATGCATGCATGCATGCAACAATGCATTAAAAAACATGAAAAGCCAGGTGTATGTCTTTAATCCCAGCAACTTGGGAGGCAGACATATAGGTGGTTCTCAAGACCAGAATGGTCTATAAAGTTTCAGATCAGTCAGGGCAATATTAGTAAGACCAAAACAAAATAAAATAAAATAAAAAATACATGAAACAGAGATGGAACTTGTATGAACAATAAATTCACAAGTAAATCCCAAACTAACACTCCTGTTGACTGTTGACTGAGACTGATTATTTGATATTTTCACCCAACAGCAAAAAAATGGATTCTTATGGTGAGAGAGAAAATTCACTTCAAAAGACCATATCCTGGGTCATAAAACACACTTAGCCATTTGAGAAACAGCAGCCAGGCCAAGGAGACCGCTCAGCATGCTCAACGGTGTGCAAGCTTGAGGACCTGGGTTCCAACACAGGGACACACATGAAGGTGGAGGGAGAACGGACCCCACAGTTGACCTCCACAAGTGTACATCTGCATCCACATGCACACATGCATGCACATGTGATGGTAATGATGAAAAATAAAAATGGAAGTGTAGAGCTGAGTAGGTGGTTTGCAAATAGAGGGCTGAGCTAGGATTTTAAGTTTAGGGTTAGCTTGGGTTACACAGTGAGTCACAAAATAGTTTAGGTTACAGTAGGAAATCTTATTCAAAAAAGCAACAACTAATGGCTGGAGAGATGGGTCAATGATTAGGAGCACTTGCTGGTCTTGCAAAGGACCTGGGTTTGGTGCCCAACAACCATATCAGGTGGCTCACACCTGCCTATAACTGCAGTTCCAAGACATCCAATACCCTCCAGACTTTCACAGGCTCCAGGCATGCATGTGGGACACATATAACTGTGTGTCACAGAGACATACTAAAGAGAATGTCTGACAAACAACACAGAACAAACTAGGCACGGAGGTGTGCCTGCAACTGCCACCCACATTCAGGACATGGAGGCCAGAGGACAGGAGTCAAGGGCTATAGCAGATCCTGTCTTAATTCGTCAATAACAGTAAACAGTCTAGAACAGGCAAATTTACAGAAGCAGAAAGTAGACTGACAATTTCTTAAGGGTGTGGGAAGCAGCATGTAATAGGGTTTGCTTTGCTTGTATTGCTCCAAGGTTATAGTGATGCTTATACAATTTTGTGAGCATATTAAAATACTCTGAATAAGTGAACTATAAAGCATGTAAAGGTCTGGAGATGTATCCGACACCTCTGGCTGCTGAGGGCATCTGTGCTCATATGCACATAACCTTCAGACACATAATTAAAAATAAAATAAACATTAAAAATATAACTACCCCTAAACAAAACAACCACCCAAACAAGGGGAACAATGAGAATGGAAGTGGGGTAAAGAGAAGGTAGTAAGTGGTGAATATGATCAAAATACTTTATATATATGTGTGAAAATGTCATAATGAAATCCATTATTATGCATAATTAATATATGCTAAATAACAATAATAAGCACAAACAAGAAAATATCCAAAGTCTCAAGCAAGACACAGTTATGCCCTCAAGGTTTCATATTCTATGCCTGTTTGGGCCTGAGGTGGAAATTTGCAGGTGGCTGCACCTGTTCCCTCTGTATGCATGCTCCCTCGATCTGATTTATTACTCAACCCATCAGTGTCCCTCCTAATGAAATCCACTCCTCTGTTCATCTTTTATTTACTTCTCAGTCACTGCATTATTGCCTCTCTGGGCCCCCTGCCTACAGGATGGAATCCAGACCGTATCCCCTCTAGTCTTCAAAGCTGGCTCCTTCAACCACTCCCTATACCAACATTACCGGGTGTTCTCTGTGCACAGTTATGTTTGTGACTTCATCAACACTGAAGCTGCTCACTTCTGTGCACAGCAAACTATACTCCTGACAGCTAGCTGTCCCTTCAGCCTCCTCTTGGTACCTCTCTCCATCATTCAGCCTACCCACCCTTCTCTACATGCATAGTACAGAGAACAACTTGTGGGACTTGGCTCTCTTTTTATACTGTGTCAATGATGGGGACTCTACTCAGGTCATCTTCATTTGCTGAGCCATCTCATAGGCTCCCAGCCTTTAGGGAGCCTTCCTGGATATTACTCAGTAAGGTGACAGCCCCTTTGAGACACTGAGTCTTGTTTGTACACTTACCTGATTTATATTTTCCTATATAGAATCCTAGTCTACAATTACAGACCCTCTTCTTATTTGTTCCTATACATCTAATGTCTGGAACATAGACACCCAATAAAAACTGACCGAGCAGTATATTTAAAATAATACACCATGTAAGACAGTGGAATTCTGCTACCCACCTTGCACACTGCAAATGGAGTTGACAGGCGTGAGGGAGCCCAGTTCATCCAGTATCACTGGGCCAGGCAGGTCACAGGAACTAGCTTCAGAAGGCACATACAAGAGGGATTTTTGGGGTAGGAGGACTGTCCGCTCAACACAAACAATCTGACCTGCCATGGAGATACTTCAGATTACTCAGGCAATTAAAGAAAGCATGCACATTCCAGGCAGTCTCCTTTACCAGCCATTGCAAATTTTGTAGGAAGAAAGGCCCAGATATGGGCTTGTCCCTTCCTTATGTCTGGCACAGCCAGCATGCAAATGTACATGGAAGTACACCTTAAAGCCCCCAGTGAACAATGGTGGAAAAGAACACAGATACTACATTCAAATACAACTGAAAAGGGTGAATTTTATGATATTCGTTATACCTAAATAAAATGGAAAAAAAAGTTTAAGTGTTTGATCTCAAGAAAGAAATGGACTGACCTAAAGCCTACTTTATTATTATTATTATTATTATTATTATTATTACTTTGAAAAAGGGTTTCACTGTGTAACCTCGGCTGGATTCTAACTTATGATACTCCTGCTCCAGCATCCCATGTTTTGGAGTTACAGGCCTTGGTTACAGGGCCAGACATACACCATGTTCTCTAGCTTTTGTTTTATTTTAAAAAGGGACATTTAGGCCATGACTGGAGGTGGTTTCCATGTAAGCACAGGTGCTGTTAACAGTCAAGGAGCGGCCAATGGTGCCTCCCTGTGCCACTGCAGCTTGGGGTGCTGGCTCCTGTCAAGTGGTCTTGGTCAGTGAGAGCCCACGGTGGGTAAGATGGCCTCTCTACCCCCACCAGACTAGGCTCATCCTGGGCTCTGTGAAGGTCCAGCAGTATTGAGCAGGATGGGGCAACAGTGCAGAAACTAAGCAGTCAGTCTAATTAAAGCAATCAAGAGAAACCAGCGTACCCTTGTCTCGGAGAGCATCCCTGAAGAGTATGTTATGAGGCACAGCCATGGTGAGTCCTTCTAGAACTTCTGGGCCCAGCACACATGAGGGGGTTACATAGACCGGCAGGGTTTTGGGAAGGCAGTGGTCCCTTTCATCCTGTATTTGTAGGGTGACATCAGTCACCAGCAGCCATATTTCCTTTTGTGCCAAAAGATTCTTTAGCTACAATTTGAAAAAACAACAAACTATTAACTATGCATATCCAAAACCTTTAAAAGCGATATTAGTAATTATTTATACTCATAATTTAACATATGATTTCACAAACACTTTAAAACATATAATAAAATTTACAAACCATGGTTACTAGTACTCACTGATGCAGTTATACCCTCTCCATGGCTGTATGGGCTCCTCTAAAGGACACAACACGGCCCTCACTGGCAGTTTTCTATTTGTTGCTTGAAGTATTCAGGGAAAACTCACTGTCATTCCCTCCCGGCCTATGTCTGTGTGGGCAGAGAGCCGTTCTTTGTTTTGTGGACCCATGGTCGCTATGGATACCTATCTGTTTCCTGAGGGTTAGGAACAGACCTCATGTGACCTGGCAGAGGACTTACAAAGCAGGTGTCATAAATCTGCTGCACGTGCAGCAGGTTTCATTTTTTTTCTAGTTTTGTCTCTCTTTTCCCCTTTCCTGATAATTTTTATGTATATATATATTTTGTCATTTGCAGGAGTTGCGACACTTTTGGAAGTTCTAGTAAACTGGCATTGTCTTTCCCAGTGGGTCAGAACTTACATCAGCAGATACAAGTACAAGTCACGAAGAAAGTGAGGGCCCAGGACCTGAGGTCCTGGCTGCTTTAAGAGTTCAGTTGTTATGGCTGGAGCAGATGGCATGCTTAGGAGATGTGGGCTGGGGTAAAGAGGGAAGTTAATATCATTAGGGGGTTGATTACATAAAATAAATTAGAGTAAATATTACAGAGGGAAATATAAATATGGCCAGCTTTCTCCTTGTCAGGGAGGAAAGGTTTTATTTATTTATTGGGACTGAATTCCCTGTGGAGCCCAGGGTCCTCGTGAACCTCTGATCTCCCTGCTCCCATCTCCGAGCCGCCACATTCTGCTGGAGGGGAAGCTACACAAGGGAAGTCTGGAGAAAATTCTGTTGTAATCGTCTACGGGAGGAGGAACGGGTGTGCAACGTGACTGTGGGCACACATACCAGGTGTGCACAGGGATACATCCACATCTGTCTCCTCGGTCTAGTCACAGAGAAGGTCTAAACATAACTACATTCCACCTGAAGCAAGACCATCCAGACCAGACACTGTCTTTTAAGTATCATTTTCCCTTCACACTTCGCCAGCACTCCTTGAAGAAGGGGCTGATTCTAGGGTCTAAAGCCCAAAGAGCAGGTTCAAAAGATGGCTTAGTGGATACAGGAGCCTGCGAATAAGCTAGACAATCTTCCATGTGATAGAAGCAGAGCTGAATCAAGTAATCTGCCTCCACATGTACCTGCACAGCACACCGACACAGACACACAGACACACAGACACACACACTAAAGGAGAAATCAATGAAAACAAACCACCAAAGGTCAGCTTGAAACATCTTACTGTGTCAGAAAGGAAAGATTCAAAGAATGATGGATCAGCTACTTTTCTGTTGCTGTTATAAATACCACAAACAAAAGCAACTTGGAAGAGAAAGAGTTTATATTAGTTAATAGTTCCAAAGGGACACAGTGCGTAATGATGGGAAAACATGATAACAGGAATATGGGGCTGGCTGGGCAACTAGGAAGCAGAGAGACCACATTTCAGCTGCAAACAGGAAGTAGGGAGAGAAAGGGGGAGAAGGAATAGCCCACTCCAAGTGACAAACTTCCTCCAGAAAAACTATTATTTCCTAAAGGAACTATTATTTCATGAACTTCCCAAACAGCGCCACCAACTGGAGACCAAGTATTCAAATACAGGAGTCTTTGGAAGATATCTCTCATTTAAAACATCACATATGTTGACTATGTTCCAATGACCAAGGAGATAGCTTAATTCTGGAAAAACATGAACACCAAAAGAACAATAGTGACAGATTATATAAAACCTATTGAATAAAAAATGAGAGGACTACACAGTGCAGCTTCCTTCAGATTGTCACCTATGATTTAGAGGTAATGCAGCTGTAATAGGGTCACCTAGGATGTTGACATGCCTGTCTGTGTTGGCTCACCTTTTAGTTCCTAAGGCCCCTGAGCAGGGTTCCAGGCTCATGGGGCCAATATGCTCATCAGAGATGGCTCAGAAGAGCAGAGGCTCCCAGCTGACCAAAACCCACATAGCAATGTCAGCCTTGGGCATGGAGGGAAACTCTTTTTATATTTTCCCCTCCCTCCCTTTCTTCCTTCCCTCTCCCTCTCCTTGCCTCCCTTCCTCCCGCCTGCCTACTTACCTACATTGTCAAGTTGTTGAAAACAAAGATGTTGTTGTTGTGCTATAGTGAACCAATGTTCAGTCATAAATGAAAAACCAAAACCCAAACCGATATCTGTATTACTCTCTCAAAGGGTAAAGGATTTTCACTGAAGAGAAGGCAGAGAGAAAGTAAGAGCCATAGGAAGGAACAGAGAATCACAGCCTTTCCATTGGAATTGTGACTCCTTTCTGGACAGTGGAAGGAGGCTCACAAGACTCAGGAAACTCATGAAATATGAAGATTCACAAAGCCCTCCCCAGTGTTATGTATTCAGTAAACAATGACTGTGGGAGAGGCACTTAGAAGCCCTCCACATATACTTCTAGAAATAACCTCAACCTTAATAAACCTATTGGTTTACCAGGCCAAATAAAAGTTAAATAAATAATAATAAAAAATAATTCATTAATCCATTTTGACATAGTAGGTCAATGACTAAGTGAACTAAGTGAGACAAATGAAAAGACAATTGTAGCAAAATCATACCTAATAAATTATCAGTTGGTCACTATCAAAATATAATTATTAATTCAGACAAGAATCATAACGGATGTTAAAATGAGTGAAAGTTTGATAAGAGCCAGGATATTTATACAGCTCAAAGTATCTTTCAAAATATCAGTAAGAATTAATAAGTATCAAATATTTGTTTGTCAACTTCAAAATTAAAAAATCCTGGAAAGCAATGTGACCAACTGAAAAGCCATCACTGTTCTGCAAGGAATCGGCTGTGAGTCTCCTGATGAAAACATACCATTACCCACGTGGCATTTCTGTCAAAAATGCATGTTAGATACTAGGCAAACCGAAACTGAGGGACATTTTACTAAGTAATTGGTCCATGGTCTTAAAACAAAGCCAAAGTCATAAAACATAAGCAGCTGAAAGAGTAAACGCACTGAATAGTATGTGCCGAGTCCTGGAGCTAGAAAGGTTACTTCTGAAATTACCGGAAAACTAACATTTGAAAAACTGATAAATATTCCAAAAGGGGTAAAGTTGGAAATGCTCTTCATCAATACTTGAGATTTGGCTATGGTCTGTCGTTCAAATGACTGAGAGACCAACATCTTCTAATTTTCTTTTCTTTGTTTAATTTTACATTTCATTATTACTATTGTTCTTGTTGGGTGCTCACAAGCATGCAGATGCCAGATGACACCCTTATAGAATTGTTTCTCTCCTTCCATGCTCTTCATGTGGGGTCCAGGGAATGAGCTCAGGTCATCAGGCCTGCCTGCTGAGCCATTTTTCCTTGCCCCCTATCTTCTTTTAAATTAACTACCAAATTATTTCTACTACTAAGGTATAAAAAAGTCAGTAATAAGAGTATCTTTTATAAAAAGGCACCACTATTCAATAGCTAAATTTTGTTTAAAATAAATCTTTTCTTGTGCATAATTGCTTAACCTTGGGAGCAAACAAGATCTTTTGGCAGATGTATTACTTTTCTCATCACTATGACAGAATACTTGAGGAAGGATGCTTCAGGAGGAAGAAAGGACTTATTGGCTTGCAGTTCTAGAACACAGTCAGGCATTGTGGCAAGGCCAGTGTGTGAGGCAGCAGGTCTTACTGCACCAGCAGTCAGGAAGTTGAAAAACAAATACTAGTGCTCAGCGCACTCATGCTTATTCAGTCTCTGTATGGAGGTCCCAAAGGGTCACTGCATGAAAGCACTAGGGTGCTGGAGATGCCAGGACCACAGGACATCCTGAGGAGGGCTCTAGGCATGGGGTGGAGCTGGGCCAAGAGAGAGTTTGTGTGTTGCGTGTACACAGCTGGAACGGTAGGACCGGTCAAGCTGTTTGGATCCCAGAAGATGCCGTCAGCAGCTCCACATGCCAGAGACAGAGCTTCAGGATTTGGTGTTTTTCCTGCTGGGCCTCAGTCTTGTTTCAGTATGACCTTTCCTTGTCATGCCACATTCTCCTCTTTTGGAATGTTTCATTGTATGTTAGAAGTGTAACTCACTTTTATGTTACAAGGGCCATGGTTCAGAGACTAAGTATTAGAAGAGATGCCTCACTTACACTTTTGCAGAGTGTTAAAACTATTAAAGACTTTTGAGATCAAATCAAATGCATTCTGCTTTATGGGAGCCATGAGCCTATGGAGGCTCCTGTACCCTTTATGCCTACAACACAAGAACTGCAAAGACAATGCTGTTAAGTTGTGATCAAGATTGAATGTACTCCCTCCCCCTTGGAGCATAGATGTAGTGGCTTTTGTCCTTTTTGTAGGCTGACTCTGGAGAGATCCAACCCAAGGAATGGTACTACTCATATTTAACCTCTTTCCATCTCATTAACCCAATCTAGAAACTCCCTCCAACATGTCCAAAAGTTTGTCTCCTAGGTGATTCTAGATTCTGTCAAGTTGACAACTAATGCTGACCATCACAGTAGGTAAATGGACAAATGAGCTTTGATATAGCTGGATAATAAAACACTTATTACTGAGTGTTATAGGAAATGAGCTCTCAAGTCACTGATGAGACATGGATGTCTAAATGCTTAGTATGGAAAGAAAAAAGCCAATGAAAAAAATGTGTGTACTCCATAATTAGAACATGCTGGTACTCTGGGTTTCAATGTTTGCTAAAGGGTCTGAAGGAGGAAGGAATGAATAGGGAGAGCACAGAAGACTTCTATGGTAGTGTAATGATTCTGTCCCAAATTACAATTGAGAATAAGGGTCATTAACTAGGAACTCTAGGTTATTGTGTCAACTGTTAACAAATGTACCACTCCGTGAACATGTTGATAACACCTATGAGGCAGAACATAAATGGGAGATTTTTACCTTATCCTTCATTCTGATGTAGACCCAAAACTGTTCTAAAACATAAAACCCATTGAAGAACTCTTGTTTTTAGTCTGTTTGTTTTATTTTTTTGAGACAGGGTTTCTCTGTGTAGCCCTGGCTATCTTGGAACTCACTCTGTAGACCAGGCTGGCCTTGAACTCACATAGATCTGCCTGCTTCTGCCTCCCAGATTGCTGGGATTAAAGGGTTGTGCCACAGCCACATGGCCTAAAGAATTCTTATAGGTACATACAACCCAGAAAAAAATATTTGAACATAGGTGATAGTTATGGATCCCCAACTTGTTCCTAAGCACAGGGTCATCGGACACACACCCCACTGAAAGCCAAGCTGATTGCTCTTGCATATTTGGAATCTATTTATTGCTTGTAAGGCTGTCAGCATATCTACCCAGTCTCATGAGGTAGCACCCTGTTGTCGTGAAGAGGAGGAATCCACCTGCTGAATGTACGACCCTGTCTTCCTCACTCTCAGTCTTTGTATTACAGCATCTCCCTGTAGGGCATCTGTACCACTAATCTGCATAGTTCTGTGCCTAGAATGTACTCCGTAATAACAGGAAGTCTCAGATGTTCATGGTGTCATCATATACCAGGTGCTTTGCAGACTCACTGAAAACCACAGAACCAGACTTCAGTTTGCTACAGACTTAGAGAAAGTGCTTTTCTTTTCTTTCCTTTTCTTCCTTCCTTCCTTCCTTCCTTCCTTCCTTCCTTCCTTCCTTCCTTCCTTCCTTCCTTACTTCCTTCCTTCCTTCTTTCCTTCCTTTCTT